TTGCCCAGGTGCCCTTCAAAATCACGTCTGCCGAAAGAGACAGCTCCACCTACAACGAGTGGAAAAGCACGGTGTGGCACCTATGTCAACGACTGGAATCGAAGTTCCATGCCAACATGGCGATGCTCGACGGGAAGTCAAAATTGTCGGCGGCCTCCAGTGTACGCACTCGACTCGGCGCAGTGGGTGACGCCAATCCCATGCTTGCAGACATGGCAGCTCGAACCGCCGCGATGATGCTCGACGGGTCGTTGTGTGACTCCGTGACCGATACCAAGTACGATGGCCTACCAAACTTAGTCAAGAAGTACTACAAATAGCATTCGTACATCTGTGAGGTCACCGACACTACAACGGAGAATGAACTGTGAAGTATTCAAATTCCACAAACACCAGCCACAATTATTGAGCCGCGCGTCCCAACAAGACCAAATGCATACAACGTGCGACTGCTGCATGAAACAATGGTAGATTTCAGGCGACAGTCGAATTGACCGTTCGATCTTGCCCTGGGGACACTAATTCGCACTGCCATACTTGCTGTCTTCGGCGGCATTTGAATTTGGCGACGAAGATCCCTATGGGTACAAAGATGACAAACCCATGCGATTTCTACGACACAAGCATTGACACACAGAGTAAGAGCTCGAAGGCTATCCATCGTTATCTTGCATGGCTTGGGTATTGGCACCATTTGAGTGGCCTTGACGCCGCTCTACTGGTATGGTGAAGGCATCTTTCCGAACGAAATGGTGTCGTTCCTATGCATATCCACGCGAGTAGTTTGTTCAATGCAGATGAAGACGCACCCCTTGATGAGTTATGTGTGTCGTGACATGACGCCTGTGGTCGTGGCAGATGCGGCTGCTACCGTCACAGTCCACAGGTCAACGCCCGGAGCTCGGGACATTCGTTGTGCTGAAGTGCCCAAAGAGGTGATGCGCGTATCATCTACAAGAGAATTCCAGTTATCGCTGCAGAGATGGAGTTGATCGGTTCTCTGTCATACGTCAGGATTGTGTGCTCGTGGCGACTCACGACGCGCTCAGCTTCACTTGAGTGCCATCGCCATCGTCCTTTGGTTGCTTGGGATCCTGCTAAAGTACGATTGGTTGAGTCTGCCCCACGATTTCATTGGCTGAGCTGATTTACCTTGTTTTCAGTATGAATGTGTAAACAATGTCTGTCATGGCAGCCCCACTATACAATCTTCAAGTAATTCCTTGCTGTCAAATTCTGCCACCCATTCATTACAGTTGTCTGTTCCCTTTTATGTGTAAATGCAGTTCAATCATTAGCGTGTTCATCGTAAAACCTTCAAAAAATAATATGTGCACACAGTATACAATGTGAGAGGAATACAATGTCGTGGTGGCTGTCTGTGTTGAAACCATGGAAGCCCAAGCAGCCAGACCGGCTCGCTACTGGAAAAGGGAGTAAGGCCAACATCAATGACTGGCAACGAGGGGAGATATTCATACAACTCCTCGAGGTGTCATATGAGGGCCGTTTACCTATGGGCATAGTGTGTGCTGTCGCAGTTGAGTACAAAATATCTCAACAGACAGTGTACAGGATTTAGAAACGTGGAAGTCAGCCCATCAGAGGAATTTACGGTTATATTGTGAGCAGAATGCAGGGAAAACGTGGGCGAAAGCTCATGTACCCGGACCTTGTGGAGATGATTAAGGAAACGGATCTAATGGACCGAACTACATTGAATGATCTTGCTGCGGCCACAGGAGTTCCAAAGACTGTTCTGTTTAAACGACTCAAATCGGCATATTTCAAGAAATACCATCGTCAATTGAAACAATTCTTAACACCATGTAAAATGTACTCCCGTAGCGAATGGGCTCTATGCCAAATACGCGCGGATTTCACTGTTGCCAGCATGGACATATTGTCCATGTTGATAAAAAAAGTTCTTGCACAAGTAACCAAGTGCACATTTTACGGTGTCACTGGAGAAACTCCTCCGCCACGATCCGGGAGAATTACATTTTACAGGTACTGTACCTCGTTTTGCTTCAAAATACATGTGAAACTATTAAATTGGTTATGGTACTTTGTGCAATGGCAAAAATTCGATGGGACCACAATAAACAAACGCGGTGGGACGGAAAAATTGGATGCCGACCGCTTACAGAAAATATGCATGCTGCAAGAACCAGGATCAATCAAGAAAAAGACACATTGATTACAACTTCTGACGTGGTTACAAGATCTGTCTACAGGACAATGTCATACCAGCGTTAAAGGGCTCTGGCCAATCGATGAAAGCAAAATGATTGAACTCCAGCAAGGCAACGCCGGTCCACATATACCTGTCGACGATGTTGAAGTTGTGTCCGCAGGGCATTTGTGATAGTTTCAGCATCAATGCCGTGTGCCAGCCTGCCAACTCTCCCGATTGCAAAGTGCTTGATCTGTGTTCTTCCGTGCTCTATAAAGTCTTCAAGTGAAATGCGCCGCAAGAACAATCGACGACATCGTAAGGATATGCGAAGGATGACGTACCCTATACGACGCTGCTTTCCAACTTTCGCACGCTACAAATCATAATGTTGGAGATTTTGAAGATTGATGGCGGCAAGCAATGCCTGATGAAGTCCAAACTGGAGCGTGTCGGCCGCTGGCCCGAAAACCCCGAGCGCGACGCTGCTGTCGTTGCCGTTTCCCGGGCCATACTTGAAGAACACGACGACGAGGCCCACCCTGCAGTTGTCAAAGTCGCAATGGCATGTGCGGAAGATGAACTCGCGCTATGTTGTGCCATGAAAGAGATGCACATTGGGTCGGAAGATCAGACCTCTTTTGAGTTTGATGTCTCCATCTTGGAGTCATTTGGAGTCATTTGATGACCACGCCGCCTTTCAAAATTGAATATGAGTGCTTGACGGTAATACTTTTTAGAGAGGTTTTTCTATTGAATTCAACACACTATTATTATGCGATTGTAACATTTAATTATATGTGACGATAATTGTTAAATGCTGGGAGTTTTCAATTTCATCGACGAGTTATAGCCATAATTATTAAACTTAATTCAGAATGCATTTCATTGCCATGACAGAACATATATTTTGTGTTTGTTTGAACCTATTCCAGGCCTCATAAAAAGTGGAAGATTCCACATTTAACACGTTTATTACACATTTAAGGGCCGGACTTTTTCCACTTTTAAGGAAGTCCGCGAATTGCTTGTGGACTGCAGTGCGGACGATCCCATTGCTGATTGCACGAATTCAAAGTGATGGCACCCAAGTCCAAGGCCAAGCACTCTTGGCAACCGTCCTACGGCGCAAGTACGCCCTGGACATCACCTCCCAGGACGGCCTCGTTGTCAAGAGTGCCCACTGCAAGTTCTGTTTCTACTTTGGCCGCTGTGTCGCCACCGAGGCCGGCGGGATCAAGCGCAAGCGCGGCCCGCGGACGACCAACCAGTTCTTTGGCGAACAGTTCCGTAGCGAGGTCATCACGAAGCACATGCAGTCTCAGCACAGCGAGAAATGGACCGAGTACAGTGCCCAGTCCTCCGCGCGACAGGACTCGTTCCTTGACATGACGATTCCTCGCGCGAACACCATGCACAACTACATCGACGTGGACAGCGACGAAATCAACCTGGTCATCTCGGTCATCATCGGCGAGATGATGTTCCGCCCCGCCTCCGACGACGTCTGGGCGCTGGCGTTGTCGTTCGACGGCAGCACGCACCGCGGTACGTGCTTCATGGATATCCGCGTGCGTGTCGGTGTGATGGGTGTCTTCTACAACCTGCATTTGTCGCGACGCCGCATTTCGACCTTCACACCGCCCAGAACCATGAGACCATGATCGTCAAGCTTCACAACGCTCTGTCCATGGGGTGGATTCGGATGCTGATCGGCGTCACGACGGATGGGGAGAAGACGAACATGGGGCACAGAATCGGCGTCCAGGTGCGCATGGTGAGGTACGCCCAGTTCAAAGTAAGTGTGAAGTCATGGAAGGGGGTAATAGTTTGTTGACATCTTCACAAGGTCGTCCAAGTGTGGTGCGCTCCACACCAGCTCGACCTGCAAGTTCACTTGTGTGTCGATGAGATCGACGGCGGCGCGTGGGTGAAGAAGACCTACGGGTGACCGTGTACCTTCGCCGGCAGTCGAGCCTGACCACGGATATGGGCGTGACAAGCCCGAAGAAGACGAACCGGTGGATCGCGCTCGGCACTTTGCTCAATTTCGACATTGCTCACGAACCGAGAATCACAACCTTCTTCGCCGAGCGCGCCGTCGAGGGCAACACGGCTCAGCCGCCTGTGCTGATGTCGACCTCGTGGATCCTCGTGCATGCTCTTTCCCCTTCCATTGAGTTGATCACTGAGACTTTTGTCAAGCTCCAGCAGCGCAATTTGGTACTCTGCAAGCAACGGAAGCTGTTTGTCGTTCTCGATGACGAAATTGCCGACTTGTTCAAGGTGTGCCGCATTGCCGACTGCGAGGGCAACTTCGACGACCTGCCTGTCAACACTTACGTACTGCGAAACCAGTCAATCGTGCTCATCGCCTCGCTTCGCGACTACGTCGAAGACCTCGGGTCGCACGCTCGAGTGCACTGGGAGAAGCTCGACAACATCGAGCAATCACAAGTCTTCAAAACGATCGGACTGTTCGCCATCGGCATCACGGACGGCATCCGCCAAGTGGAAGCTGAGCGCGACCCAATGAACAACCCATCCATAGAGCTCGCGCCACCCATATGCCGCACGACCTCGTCAAGACGAGACCCGCGACATTTATCTCGGAGGCGCTAGAGCCGCGGAAGCCACAGCTCGAGGCGACGTCCTGGACGGCCGATCAGATTAACACAGCCGAGACGAACCACCGCGATTTGACCAAGGCGTACACAGGGAGCCAGCGACGAAGGCGATAATCGACAAGCACGACCATCTCAAATCATTCAACGACGCGTGGGACGCGGTCGCCGGGTGTGGCGTCAAATACCTCCAGCTGCGCCGCCTTTGCGCCGGTCTCGCGACCGTCTTCCCCACCTCGACGTCGGTCGAGTCCGACTTTTCGATACTGAAGTGGGAAATGGACGAGTTCCGCACATCCATGCTCTACCTGTCGCTGGAAGGAACTGCTTCCAGGCAAAGCAGTTTGAGCTTCTGGACTCGATCATGGTGTCCCTTGAGCAATGAATTGCAAACCCTAAAGTCTAAACCCCTTCCACCTCCAACAGTCGTTGGCCATCCACTTACTTTTAAGCTAAAAGTGTAAAATGTGGAATCATCCACTTTTATGAAGCCTGACCTATTCTCCTACAGTGAACGACGGATTTTAAGCCACACTGTGACTCGAAGTATTGACGCAATCTGAAGACGTGATTGGTTAACGTACTACGAAATTCGACGAATATTCTGACCAATAGCCAGTCTCCAATCAATTGTCAAAAATTTAAATAAAATATGAAAACCTCGGGCACAGCAAAACGTATTTTGGCCATAACTTCTTCAATTTTCATCCAATCTCGACGCATTTGGTACCAAAATCACGGCATTGAAAAGCTCTATCGAATGCAACTAATTTGAGCGTATGACTGGAAGCCAAGAAAACAGCAAAAACCGTGCAAAAATGCTTGAGGCGGCGACAGCCGTCTCAAGAGATGTTACCACTTTTAGGGATTGCTTTGAGAAAGCTACCACGCACCTGCTCTGGGGTTATCTTCTCCCACGCGAGGATCTCTCGCTTTATCATGGTAATGCGCTTGACCTTGGCGGTGGGAGACATCCAGTTGTCATCATTGTCGTCGTCAACGGTGCTCACGCAGTCTTCTGCTATCCATAGGTCCCGAAGGTGACGGTTGAATGGGGCCATGATGGAGACATCCAGAGGCTGACAGTGTGACGTTGCAGTTGGAGGTAATGCACATACATCAAAACATCAAAACCAATCTCAGCAGCGGTGTCAATGCCTTCAGGACTGACGTGCGAATCAAAATTGTCAAGAACCAGCACGGACCGGTCGGTCACACGTTCAGCCAAAACGAACCAGATGTATTGTGTCATGCATCGGCATTCATCCATGCCTTTGATTGCATTGCGTAGTAGTGGCCGCGCGGGTACGTCGGAATTTCTTGTGTGTCGATCATTCCACCAGCCTGACCCTTGATGACGAATAGGATGGGCAGTTTCATTCCGTCGCGACGTATTGTTAAGACAGCAGTCATACGGTATGAATGCTTCTCACCTTGAGCTAGCTTCGGTGACGATCCTCTCTTCGACCAGATATACCGCGGTGCCATATCATACTGAATTCCAGTTTCATCAACGCATTCGTCAGCGGCGCCACCATGAAGACTGTAGAAGCGATCCGCAAACGCAGCTCGGGTGCTTTCGAGGTCAGTAATTGTTCGCTTTGCCATTGAAGCTTGCTGATGTGTGTAGCCATGCTGATTGCAGAAGCGTAGAAGGAGTTTCTTTATAAAAAAATTAAATTTTGTAAACTTTTTTATATTAAACAAAAAATTAATATAATTAATATATATAATCTATATTTATTAAATAAGAAAATATAGTCGTATCCACATCCGTCCTTTTGTCGTTGCATGTACTCTTGCAGCCAGGTATGTTGGCTCTTCTTGAGGTAGTTGACAATGTGTGTGCATGCGAGAGCACGCCCTTGTTGGCGACGTTCGTTCATGAAGGTGAGCAGTCCATCGGGGTCAGGAAGAATCGGCGGTCGGCCAGCTCCAAGCATGTTTGAAGACTTTTTGTTACCCTTGAATTCTTTGAGTTTATCGACACCTTGTTCCAATTTCGCACGAAGCTGTAAGGAACGGAGAGTTCCTCGGCAACCTTTCGGTAGGACATGTGTTGTAGCATTCCAAGGGTTTTGAGCTTAAGTGATATCGAGTACACGTGCCGGTGGCCTCCGTTGGAATTTTTCGTCATATCGTCCTCCATAGTGCCGGAGAATTCAATACTGATGTGATGAGGTGACATGGTTCAAGTGTTCGCGGTTAAATTATTGAATTTGGCGCGGATACATAAATTTGTCCAATGAGGTTCATTCATCATGTTTCTTGCATTTTACTGGATATAAATCTCCATTGTAATGTTGACACTTCGGTGCGGCTTAAAATCTGCCGTTCACTGTATTCTTATACATTACAACCAAGGACTTCTATTCTCCTATTCTTATACATTACAACCAAGGACTTCTCACTCCTATCAAATATGAAAATCGTTCATTTTGATGGGTTATGCGTTTCATGATCACTTAAGCGCCGTCATCATTTGCCCAAAAATGTCGAACTGGTTCTTCCACTTAAAGATAACGGACTAGTATACGCTTACCACGAAAAACATGTCTTGTGGTTACTCCCTCCGTCCCACAAAAGTGGAGAGAGTTTGGGAAGACATGACCCAACATTTTATTTGATTGCAAAATTGAAATTCTAACTTATTCTGCCTCGTATGTGTAAACACTGCGTATCACATTAATTCGAAGCAATTCTGAGGCTGCTCGGTCACATGAATAGTGTGAATCACGCTGATTTAAGGCAGACGAACTCGTGGGTCGAACGAACGAAGCGAGAGCGAGGTCGGCGATACTTTCTCCATCAAAGTCGCTACGCCGAGTCCGTTCTGGAACACTTCGACATGTCCAACTGTAACTCTTTCTCTACTCCGTCTAACCGCTCCGTGACTCTCTCTTCTTTTCAATGTACCCCGACTCCTGATTATCATGATTTCATGTCGGGCAGAACTATCGATCCGCTATTGGCAGCCTCATGTACCTTGCAATGTCTACACTCCCCACTTCGCTTACACTCTCCAACAACTCAGCCAATTTCTCCACAACCCTGACCCCGTGCATTGGTCTGCCGTCCAACGTGCCTTCCGTTACATTAAAAGGACAACCTCCTACGGCATCCGCCTGGGTTACCTCACCTCTTCCACTTTTTCAACTTTTCTCTCTGCCTACGTCGACGTCAACTATGCGATGTGTGTTGACACTCGTCGGTGCGTCAATGGTTTTACCACTCTTTTCTTAGGCTCTCTAATCTCCTGGCTTGCCAAGAAACAAACCTAGTCACTCTTTCAACCACTGAGGCTGAATTTGCGGCCCTTGCTCTCGTCACTCAAGAACTCCTCAGTCTACGCCCACTTGCTCAGGAACTCCTTCAAACCTCCGACCAATTCATCCTCATCCACGAAGACAATCAATCTACCATCAAAATTGCTACCACGGCCGAACCCCAAGGTCGCTCCAAGTACATCGATGTGCGCCTCATGCTTGTCCACGACCTCATCGACTCTGGAGATCACCTTGCGAACTTCTTCACCAAACACTTCCTACTCCTGCCTTTGTCGATCTTCGCTCAAGACTCTCCATCCTTCCTCTTCTCTTTCCCTTTTGTGTAACCCTTCTCATCTCCTCCTATGCCTTCTACTTCTCCTCTTTCTACCAATTCTTTCACTCCGTCTATTCATCTCGAATCCTACCTCAACTTCTACTCCTTCTCCTCTTTACTACTTTACCGTCCTGCTCCCCTTCTCTTCTCCTCTTTCTCCTTCTTCTGCTCCTTCTCCTTCCCCTCCTCCCCTCGTTCTGCACTTCTACTCATTTTATTCCTACTTCCCTCTTACTTCTTCTACTCCTCCTCCTCTACTCCTACTCTCTCCACTCTACTCATTCCACTGCTTTTACTCCTCCTTGTACTCCTTCTCCACCTCACGACCGATGGGCCCATGCTGGTCAGGGCCTTCTTGACAGCCTCAAAGCACGCCGTGTGCTCGACAGCCCACCCCATGGTATTGATCGGGGCCTTGGTCAGCGCAGACTTCTTGGCAATCCGAGACAGTTTCGTACCAACGTCGAGGAGGCGACGCAATAGGTCAATCAATTGACTGTACTCCGGGATGCTCAACCGCATCCAGTTGGTCGCACAGATGAACTGCTGGAGGTCGGTAGCCGCCGTTGGCTCTGCCAAGTCGCACAACTCTTGAACCCTAACAGGAAAGTGGGTCACATCAGCAGACAAAATGACCTTGCCGCTCTATTCAACTTCCCTTAGGAAAATCGTGCATTTCTTCGGGTGCAGCTTCAATCTGAAGGACTCGCAGATCTCTACAACTGTTCCATCAGGTCGACCAGACCCATTGGCGTGGTCGCGACGCCAAGCAGATCGTCCAGCCAGGCGAATAAACCTCGAAAGAGAAGTTCGCCGAACATTTGATGGGCAGATTGACAGAATGCAACGGCGTCCGTCTGTCCCATCACAACACACGTTGGCGTAAACACGCCCCCAGGGTGTCATAAACGAGTACAGCTCCTGACTGGCCGGATGTAGTGGCACCTGCCAGTACCCCTTCGTCCAGTCCAGGGTAAAATTGACAGACGTTCCGACCAGGACCCCATCGCAGCGTCTAGGTTGAGCATCAGCCAGGGCAGAGGCACCGTGCAGGGCATTGATCGGATGTCGGCGATAGTCATCCGCAGATCGTCACCGTGCAGGCATTGATCGGGCGTCGGCGATAGTCATCCGCAGAACGTCTGGGTCCATTTTTGGCACAATTCGGGGCGCCGCAGCCCACGTCGCCCGGTTGTTTCGGTAGACCAGTCCGGCATCTTCGAGCCGGTAGACATGTCGCTTGAGGAACTCCACGTGGCCGGGTGGATAGCAACGATCGAGCACTTGACGGGGACTGTGTCTGGCTTCAGGCGAACCTTGAGGGTCTCCACCTTCATCGAGGGGTCGTTCCCGACATCCGATCGAAACACTTCGACAAACTGGATAGCAGTGGTTACAAGCGCATGACTTCTTCGTCGCGTAGGCCGAGGCTCGAGCGTCTTCGACTCGCCGCCAGAATAGCCTTCACCTCGGCCTCGCAACGTCGACGGCGGTCTTCCTTGCTCTCGCCCGGCAGCATGTCTAGCGCAGGGGTAGAGCACTCCTTCCCGGCCTCGGGGTCAACGTCCGGGTCAATGCGGACACCCGATTCACAGCGACTTCGGCAGACGGCAAGGACTCGCCGTCGGACATGTCCCACTCAGGTTTGAGAGACCGCGCCTTCACGAACAGCACGCCTGTAAAGAATCCCAAGGACTCCATCACAGGACGGCTGATTATCAGCGCCACATTAACGTCCGCCTCGTCGACGACCCACACGGGCACGCCACGCAGTTGGAGAGGACCACACGTCGTCATGAGCGCTACACTCGGGCGTAAGCGACGGGATAGCCTGACCGGCTTGGTCGACTTCCCGTACGGGCACAGGGCGGTAGGGTTGCCCTCCATCAACCCCGCCTTCTCCAACGCCGTAATCAAACCCACGTTGACTTTGGCACTCATGTCAAACAGCAGGTTCTCTACCACGACAACGGCGGCCACGGTGGCACCGCCTTCAATCTTCGAGCGGTTTGGACCGAGATCGATAAAGTTAGCAATCGGACGCGCCTCGCGGGCAGCTTCCCACCCCTGCATCTGCGCCGCTAGCAGTGCTTGGACTTCGCCAGGCGCCGTCTTCGGGCAGTCTGTAACCTTGTGAGCCACAAATTTGCACTTGAGACACGCACCAGGTTTAGAGAAGGGGCAGACGGTATGTCCGATAGTTCACTCTGTCTGCAGACCGGACTTCGCTGATCCAGATGCCCCGTCCGGTTTCTTCTCGTCGGGCCTTTTCGACGCAACGCCACGACCGTCGTCGCCGCCTTGGCAGGCTTCTCCTCGTCGTCTACACCACGTAGACTTGGTGACCGGTTGAGAACGTCCGCAACCAGTTGACGAAGCGAAATACGTTAGAGCGCAACGGCTTGTTGACCTGCAACTACATTTGCTTCTTTACGGCCGACAGGAGCATCGACGGTCGGGCACCTTGACCACAAGGTCCACGACAACTATACCTTCGTCCTGAGGTCCATTCCTGACTGTCGCGTTCCAGGAACTTCATGAGCCCGTCCAGAATATCGGTGCTGAAACGATTGGTCACCTCTAGGCGCCTCTAGAGGGCATCGAGGTCTCGCGGCCCTTCATCGAAGCCATACTAAACCACGCAATCCACTCGGTCTTCATGATTTCGTCGTACGGTCGGTTGAAATCCCACAACGCCACAAGGAGTTCGTATAGTGATCCACGCATGCGGACACGGGCATTACGAAAGGTCTAGCCCCGGTAGCCTGTAGCGGGTTGATTTGGCCCACATATTGCTGGTAGGCACGCATAAAAATGCGGCGCTTTTGCTTGGTCCTGCAGCTGAAGCCCAGAGCTTGGGGAATTGCCAGCGCATGAAAACATACGGGATATCTTCGCCCATGGCGACGTTATCTGCGACGGCTGTTGACTCGCTGTCGCGCCAGTAGCTTCTCGGCAGTACTTGTCTAGTCGCCACGCTAGGAATATCTTCGTCCTTACCAGCCGGTAAATGCTCTTGACTGGGGTCTAGCGGCCAGCCTCCAGCTGCCGCTCCTGCCGCCGGAGTGTAGCCAAAGCTCCCTCTCCAGGGCATGTTCACGTCGATAGGCTGCGGCTGTCGTCGCCACGGGGATCGAAATGGCGCAGGCACTGGCTGGAACGTTCCACGACTGACGCGCGCCTGGTATCGAGAGGTGCGACCACGATCCCTCGACTGCGATCTGTCATCGTCGCCACATGGCGAACTCAATCGGTCTTACCCGTAGTGGTCACTGTCAGCCATTTCAGACTCGTAGTGCACTAAAGATATCTTTGTTGTGAGTCTGCGCCTTGTTTGTCTGCAAGACGTCTTTCTTTCGGAAATCAATGCAAAATCCAAACTGAGTTCTTCTCATTACTGTACCTCCCTAGTCAGCTCATTTTTCCCCTCAATGCAGCACCAACTTGCGTGGACGTCAGAACTGTGGGACTACCGATAACCGGATAATTATCCAATCAGGTCGTCCCGTACTAAGTCGCCCCGTTGTGATTGATCCAGCATCTATCAACCATTCTCAGCGAGGTTGGATTGGACTCGGGGCGCACTCGACCAGAGCACGCATCCAGTTGAGGTCACATACATATTGTTGCAAGTCTCGCCCTGCCCAAGGTGATGGCAAAAGCAGGAGTGTGCTTGTTTGAGCTGGGTCGCGTACCGAAAAGCCCACACTACATCACTAAACTTACAAACAACCGGCACTACTTTGAGCGGCCTCAAACTTTTATTGCATAAACCTCCAATACGCCATCCAAAGCTACTAGCAGCGCGGCAGGTGATCTGTCATAACCCAACAGGTCAGCAAGCTAAGCTAGCAAACATCGTAAAGCTGGCCAGTCACAACATCCGGTTCTGTCGAGAACTTCTCCACTGTGCGAGTTCGTCCTTGGTATGGGGCTTTCACTCGATCACAGGGGCACATGCCAATCGGCAGGTTGGGCTGCGATAGATGAAACCAGTTGAAGCTAGCTCTTCTACATGCTTCTGCATGATCTCGCGTTGAGGGAGTAACAAAAAAGAGACTTGCATCGTCATGTACTAGATGCACCTTCAACCGCGTTGCTCGTTGGAAGTCTCCTACGTCATTCTACCTAGCGTTACTCTTGGTGAGCCCCATTACACGAAATCCAACCTATCTCGTCCGATCCGCGCATCACGATTCCACGTACCATGACGCAATGGAATGCCTAGCTCCACATGATGGTGTGGTTGGCAAAGATAATGTAGCGATGCGGAGCATGTTGTCCACCATTGTGGCGCGTATGATCAAGAACTTGGCATTGTGAAGATGGCAAGAATCGCTCTGGAATATTTACTTGCCCCTCGCTCAACATGTACATCAAGAGAGTAGTGTATGGATTTAAGGGAAAGTATATGCTTTGTCCAGGAATTAGGTTTGTCCCACAGTCGGCACGAATATCCGACGCTGAAGTTCAGCCCCCTGGACTACGCGTTTGCGTCTTCCCCCATGGCCGCCACACTTAAACCACACTGCAAACTCTTTTTTAGGCCGTTGGGCATTTCAATTCAAAGCAATTTTCTGCACTTCTTCACAAGACCAGTGAGCGTCCGAAATTTTTCGCACACAATATGTATTGTGCCCCCTGCCACAATAGCCAACATTGAGTAGTGGAAGGATCTGGCGGTCGTAAGTTGACCCACGTTCGTATGTATATCTTCAAGAAATATGACTAACCGCTGAGGTAAACTGTGATTACTCGCTCTCACTGCACCGCGGGGACCGCGCACACAACGTAGAGTTGGCAATTTGCTACTAAACCCTCGCTCCCTACTGGGATGAGATTGTAGACACGACTTGTAGACACGACTTGATCTGAAAAAGAAGTGCTTGGTTCAGATTTGGCGTCGATGGAGCTGTGCGTCGGCATTCCAGTCATCGTACAAGCTCGACCAAAGACAAATCGCTCACCTATAACGATGTGGATCATGTAGGCGTAGTGGCGCTGTCATGTACATACGCGTAAGGCTCGAGTCCGTCCGTACACTTCGATTCCAGTCTAGGGAGCGCATGACCAAACAAACTGTATGCACTCATCCCTCGAAGGTAAACAAATCGCCACAATCAACCGAACCACATAGATTGAGAATCCAACAAAGCTGTGACTGAGCGGTAGATAGGGGGGGGGTGTCGCTGAGGGAATGCATTATTACTCCGCAGACTCGAGCTGGCACATCGTGCATCGCGACCACAAAAGTACGGCGTACGGCGGGACAACATCAGCATTATCGTATCAAAAGAATTTAATTCACAACAAAAAAAGGATTGTATTATATACCATTCATGTGGCTTCGGCACAGCCGACAGTGCTTGCTTGCGCTGGCAGCCTATACAGTATTGATGCCCCAGGAAAATCCCAAGGTGCATCACTCAAAGGCGCTGGCGGCCGCAAGCGTTTTCAATGGTTCGAGCGCCGAGAGGCTTCCGTTGAGTTTGCCCGCCAGTGAGTCTCGCGCACTTGGGGGGGGGGGTGTATCATGTAGAGTGACGCCTCCATTTTTGCAACGACCGAAACCAATAAACAATGAAAGGAATAAGTTTACAAAGGTTTGGTACAACACGTTCTGCAGACAATTCAAGTGTATTCACTTAGCTGTTCAAGACATCAATCGACAGTGCAGAGCCAATTCGAAGGCTTTCAAGTGCCCCGATGAGCGACATACGAGGTAAGGTACCAGTATGAGCCCAACAATTACGAATTGTCGAGGCTGACCCCTCATCGCAAGCCTCACATGACCACAACATTGCTTGCAAGACATCGACAGCGTATGGATTCTTTCTCTGGTGGTTCGACACCACGCCGCCAGCAGCAATTTCGTCGACAATTTGGATCGCATAGTCCAACTGACGTCGTCGGTAGCAGTTTTTGAACGTGGCAACAACACCAGCATCCATTTTATGGTTGTAGCACAGACGTCGTGTTCGTGTGTGCTGTATCGACCCACTGGGACAGCTGTTCGTCAAGTTCGGGGTACTTGGGCAGCTTTGAATTACAGCGTATGTTTGTTGCGGAGTCGGCAATGCTTAAGCTCTGTGTTGCCCCGTCGTCTTGAAGTATGCGAGCCATTTTACTCTTATGAACCGAGAAACCAATTCTTGATTTGCCCAGTTACACATTTGACCTAAGGTCATTTGGACTTACTGCTGAGCTCTGTACATGTCACGCAGTGCCTCCTTCTGTTGGAGCGTCAATCTTCTTCCAGCCGATGGCAATTTTTCCGTCACGGTACAAGATTGAATTTCAAATCATACTGCTCGAAATGAATTTATTAGTTCTCGGAGGATATTGAATATAATGAATGCAATAATGAGGCATTACTGTATACAGTACCCATCGCAATGACCACGGCCGAAGTGCCCTTGCGGCAACGTTTCGCACCTGGGTACTGGATGACTGTATGACACCCAGGCACGGCCAGATCGTGCGACGAACACCGCATATGATTGCACCAAGCAACAGAAGGTGGATGTGTGAAGGATGTAACACCACTACATTAAAGGCACGTTTTTGTTGTAAATGTTGAAGGTAATGCCGCCAACGCAGCTCTCGACATGTAATCGTGTGAATAACGGACGATTGTGTGAAGCCGATCAAAATCGGGTTTTATTGGGAAAATGAAATGGCCAAGCTTTGGGTATTCGCCCAACTCGTGTTTGTGTCGACTTTATCGTAACTGTATTTGGTACTGGAAGTTGTGCCATGGACATTTGAATCCGCTCGTGGCTGTTGTTTCAATGGTGCTTGCGCCCTCACTCATTTGAGGGGTTGAGGCACGGCGTCACTGACGCGCCGGCAATTAGTCCATAACTTGCAGTATCCAGGTTAATGATCATCCTTATCCAACCACATCCTCATCAAGACCAGAATTATGGACCCAAGGCAGCGGCCGGGCCCAAGGTATGGCTATCGCTGGCTGCGCAGTGACTTTGACGACGACCGACAAATCGACAAAGACAGAAGGGTGGTGGGGCGGTGACAGGGCCATTTCCACCAAATGCCTTCGGTGGCCCTGTGAATTCAACCCCCGTCGTTTCTCATGGGATGGTAATCGCTGACGGGAATAAGTTGGGATGCACCCACGGCCACCTTCCCTATTTACCATCGGGTGAACCCACCTAAGGCTTGTGAAACCAAGTTCATCCTAGACAAGGAGTACGACAACTTGAAAAGTCACCAACTATTTAAAGTATAATGAACATTTCAAATCGGGTGAACCCACCCTTGCAACATGGCTGCGATAATTTGAGCTCTTCCTTGTATGCTGGGTAGAATCGAACGACGTGGCACCGGATGCATAGTGCCACACCAGTGGGAACTGGTTCGTTTGGGAAATCTAATCGACCCCAACCCACCTTGATACATCGCGTCGACATTTTCCAATTCGCATTGTCATGGCCAAGCTCGTCGCCCTCGCTGCCCTCGCTGCCTCTGTCTCCGCTCAATCCGAAATTATCAACGGCACTGAAGTCCCCATCGGCAAGTTCACGTACGTGACGGGCATCCGCAGGAGTGAGACCGGTCCGTCCGGCTGCGGAGCGTCCTTGATTGCACCCAAGTATCTCCTCACCGCCGCTCACTGCGCCGGCGCGTGGGCCTCTTACGCCTCGATCGCGTCGCACTACTTGAGTGGCAACAAGGACGGTGAACGCATCAAAATCGTCAAGCAAACCGTCCACCCTAAGTTCAACGAAGCCACGATGGAGAATGACTTTGCCATCTTTGAATTGGAAACCGAATCCAAGGTCGCCCCTGTCCCGCTGAACTGGATCGACGACGACGCGACCGCCCCCGGCATCGTGGCGTGGGTGCGTGGCTTCGGCACGACCAAATCGGGTGGGACGCAATCCCCTGTCCTCTTGGAAGCTGACGTCAAGATTTGGTCCAATGCCGACTGCGCCAAGGCTTTGGCCGGCGAAGGCGACATCTTGCCGTCCATGATGTGCGCGGGTGGCGCAGACAAGGACACGTGCCAAGGCGACTCTGGCGGACCGTTGACCATCATCCGCAACGGTGTCGAGTACCTCGCCGGTGTGACGAGCTGGGGCGTTGGTTGCGGCGATCCTGGTTTTCCCGGCGTGTACGCGCGCGTGTCGACCGCCCGCGACTTTATCACACCGTACTTGCCTGTCACCCCCACCACTACTATGCCTGCTTGTTAAGCAGCGTGTGATAACTCCGTTGTACTTGTTAATGACACGTCTGATCTTGCTTCCCTTCTTGGTTCATCCTTGTTGGAGGTCATTGCGGAAGCTGTGAAGAAAGCTCTCTTCGGCCCAGCTTTCACATGCGTCATCCTAGTCCGAGATGATATCGCCCGCTGAGATACTTTCCCCGCGTCGCGAGACTTCGCCCAGCTCGCCGTACATGGGAACCCCATGGCCCAAGGCAGTTTTCGTTGGAGGAATTTGTGCATACTGTATCGGGGCGGAGGTGCAGCCGTATAGCCCTCCTGACATGAGACACGAAGAAATCAAGATCGCCATGACACATGCTTTCCTCCTTGAATTCGTCAAATGAGGTAAGGCAAATAGCGATTTGTATGAATCGCGTGGAGGGTTGGTAAGGCTGACATGAGCCAAATAATCCGCTGTGGTTGAAAACAGTGGTGGAAAGATTCAACCGGTGGCCATTGCCCGTTTTCAACAAAACATCGTCGAAAGGGATATTGTGTCGTGGCTTGACCATCCCCCCTTCGTCCAGTCAGTCGTCGATGCGCTCGAATCTGGGTCGAACCGTGCTCTAACCTGCTTTACTCATGGCAATCTCCACGCTACACCTCCATTTCCAAGACGCGGTTGTAAAGGCGATTTGAAGGATGTGAAAATCGCTGCACCAACATGATTCAAAGAACGAAGTCGTCGCGAGCAGGTCAATCGATTGCCCGACATTCGACGACATCGCCACCTCATATTTACTGTTAGCTCACAACCTGGACACAACTCTATATACTCTTGGCTAAAATTGACAACGCTTTGTGGAATTTAAAGGTGTGTTTGTCGAGTCAAAGCAAACCAACCTTGCGAAACAAGACGATGCCACATCCACAAAAACGCTTTCGATGGTTGCTTGTGCAGTGCGCTGATGTCGCAATAATCGCTGTTCCTAGTTAGCTGTCGAGACTGTCTGTGTTTCGTTGCTGTGCAGAGAGATGCCCATTGCGTCCAAAACCAGCCGGCGTCGGCAGCACGGGTCCATGGATACCTTCGACAGGCATGGAGCGGCCACGGAACCATGGCAAACGCATGCTTGAACTGACCCAAGTGGGTTGTAAATTCTGCCGTAAAATCCAGGATCGAGTCATACCTCGCGCGAGCTGCGATCGGCCCCTTGAATTTGCACATCGCTAATTAGTCGGTTTCGTGTCCGTCTATGGCGAGTATTACATATTTTTTACGAACAGTCGCAAGACAGACACTGGACCTACTTGCTGCGGAGTGTCCCCAAGGTATTGTTCATTGCTCGGCGCCGAGTTGGGCAACGTTCGCCTCGATTGGGTAGCACCATTTTCGAGGCCACGTGGTCAGCGAGCACATCAAGATCGTCCACCGCATTCAACATACCCATGTGTACAATTCCATGACTCACGAGTTCCGGTTTGCAATATTTGAAATGGAATCCGCATCCAAGCAGTAAGTTCCCCCTGGCCGTGTCCGTCATGCCCCGTGTCACCGCGACGGTCCGTTTTTTTGGCACGACCACAATCATGAAGGGCGCCGCATTGGAAGTCGATGTTGCGATTTGGTTCTACACAGTCGGGGGTCAGTCAATCAGCGCTCTAATACTACATCATGATATTTTAGTTTGACTGGTGTGCGCGGAAGTGCGTGAATGCGATAGCCACGTCACCATAATATGCGGCCAAACTTGCGCTTGAAGCACAACCGAATGCGCCGCTGATTGCTCGAGGCATGCTTAATGGGGGGAGGTAGTTGGTGTCGGAACTTCTGGTACAGGAGTGTTTCCAGTATATGGGTGGAATTCGCTGGTTCGGGAACACGGTTGCACTCTGCTCGCCTTCCAGCCCAGGACCTCCTATCCATTGAGTGGAGAGTGAATGTGTGTTACAGAAGTGCGTCTGCCATAAACCAGTACAGTGCGCGCCAGGTGGATAAAGCCACCCTGTTTTCTTGTAATAGCTATTGACGTATGTCCTTATTCGATAAGCAGACGTTTATGAACGAATTGATATGCCAATTGCAAAAGGATTCCAACTCCATGGGCACAACTACTTCGAAAATGTAGTCAAAATGGGAACTTTATGAAAAATCACTGCGCCAGGTGGTTAAAGCCACCTCTGAAAAATCAATGTATTTTCAACACAAATCGCTGTTATTGACCCAAATCATTCATTAGTACTTTGTTTTACCTCCTTTAGCTACTACAACGTCAACACTACGGTCTTGCATCGATTGAATCAACTTGTCGAGATAACTTTGACTCAAGCCAGCCCATGCACGTTTGATAGCCTCGACGTGGTCATGCAGTGTCATAAATTGACGTCCGTTCGCATAAGCCGAACGTGCTAGGACCCCCACAAGTTTTCAATTGGATTTAGGTCGGGAGAAAGGGATGGGTGGTCAAAAATGTCCACCCCATACTCCGCGAACCAGGCCATGGTGGTGTTCGCACGATGGATTGACGCCCCATCTTGCATGAACGTAAAGCTGGGGCCGTAGTGGCAATGACCAAATGGAAGCAAATAGTTGCCCAACGTTTCGACGTAATCGTCGGCCTTAAGGTTGCCTTCCAAGACGGTCAACTCCGACAACCCTTACGACGAAAACGAGCCCCACACCATGACGCCATCACCACCCTTTTGGCGTGTCAAAAAGGTGTCAGGCTCCTTCCCTAAGTTATGCCAATAGGACCGAAACCCATCCGGTCCATCGAGATTGAGCTTCTTCTCGTCAGACCAGATGATTTCAGCCCAATTGGTTGGCTCACGGAAGTGGCGCTTGGCATACTCCAACTGCGCGATCTTGTGCTTGGCTTGGAAGTTTGGCATGTGCTTCCGCTTCTCGTAATTGAGATTTGGACTTTGTTGCAGGCGCCGTTGGCAGGTTCGAAGTGAGGCGTCCAAATTCAGGGTAGTCTTGAGCAGTCGCGCGGATGATCCGACCTTGGAGGCTTCCCGAAGCAAAAGTCGGCACGCACTGCCAACGAGAATTTTTGGCTTCGTGCCGTTGTATCTCGTGCCATAGGTCTCTGGGTCGCGAAAATATCATCTCACGACGTTCTTGAACCTTCCAAGCTCGCGTGCAATGGCCCGGTTGGAGTATCCGGTCTTGCAAAAGGCCAAAATGGCGCCTTTTGAGCAGGAGAAAGTTGAGCGTCTCTACCCATCCTATGGCATTGATATTGTTCGTTGTCGTAGTGTATTTGCGTGTAAAAGTGCTTACCAATCACGTGACAATAGTCTGTTAGCTGTGCGTGGGGTGAGGTTGCTGCTTGGGGTCTGAATTTCTAGTGGCTTTATTTCCCTGGCGCGGTCAAAAATCGTACTTGTTGCAGTCTACAACGCTCAACTCAACCAATTGACCTAAAATTCTATGTGATAACTCCACCAATCATGCTCGTTACACTGGCGCATTTTGTGGAGCAGAACCCGTGATTGGCGGAATTTTTCTCTTGAATAATACAGTGCTGGACATAAAGGTTCGGTACATGGGATTCTGAGTCACAGCAGTATTGGTTTTCATCCAATCAGAACGCTTTAAAACCTGTTTTAATCCAGTGAAAATGGCGGACCGACTGAATCCACCCGATTTGTCCCAAATTGTATATTCACTGAAAAAGGCGCGAAAAACATCAAATGGTTGGTTTTGAACCTGGTCAATAAACATCGGTACATCCATTGTATGTCGAGTTTCAAAGCACATTACGCTTAAAAAGACACAACCAAAGGTATCATTGAATAGCTGATTTAATGCTGCACCAAGAGAGTTAACTAGAACATACATACTAAATAGATGACCCTAGGCGAACGATTGACACCAGAAGAACGAGGAGCCATTTTGGCTTTTCGCAAGGCGAATTGGTCGATTCGACGCATAGCTAAGGAGCTTTTCTTCGCGAATGGCACTGTCGCCAACTTTCTCAAGAACTCTGCCACCAATGGGACGTCTACCATACCTGGCAGACCGAGAAATGGCTGACAGAGACGTTCGCCGATTCATCCGTGTTGCTTCCGAGGGTCGGAGCAGCTCATCAAGGATCCAACATGACCTCCAACTGGACGTGTCTCCACGCACGATTCGCCGCGTTTTAAAACGCTCAGAGCATTTCCAATACAAGAAGCGCAAGGCTACACCACGGCTGACGCAGGCGCACAAGGAAGCAAGAGTCAAGTGGGCCAAAGACCACGTCGATTTTGGCGACAAATGGGCGACTGTAATCTTTTCGGATGAAAAGAAATTCAATTTGGATGGCCCCGATGGGCTCCAATTTACTGGCACGATCTCCGAAAAGATGAACAGTCGTTCATGAGTCGCCAAAATGGCGGTGGAAGAGTCATGGTGTGGGGAGGTTTTTCCTCCCAAGGACGTACGTCGCTTGCTGTACTGCAAGGACGTCAAGACTCGTTTGCCTACTGCGACACGGTAGCAAATTATATGCTACCGTTCGCCCATTGGAAGCATGGCGATGGCTTCTTGTTTCAACAAGATAATGCCAGCATTCACATCAGCAAGGAGACGATGGCATTTTTTGACGACCAAGAAAGTCAAGTTTTGGGCTTGCCGGCGTTGTCGCCCGACCTCAACCCAATCGAAAATGTGTGTTTGGGGGGCTATTAGCCCGAAAGTTTACGCAAATGGTCGACAATTTTCGACAGTTTCGGAGCTGCAAGCCGAAATTTTACGACAATGGGACGCGATCGAGCATTCGTACTTGCTGAAGCTTATAGATTCGATGAAATTCAGGTGTATTGATTGATGTCCTCAGTGGAAAAGGGCATTGTACTAAGTACTAATGTGAAATTTCATTGCTTCAGCTTTAAAATTGAGTGTGTTGTGCAGGTTTGAAAGTCGTATACCAATGTTTTTGTCCAGCCAAAAAACTCGTTTTGCATATAATTTGTTGTCTTTCTCAGCATGTACGCCACTTCTATGCAATCCAAACTTATCGACGTGCTCGCAATGCATCTAGGATCAATGTAGCACAGCATGGATACTGGTGGCGACAATGTCTTGGGACGTACCTCTCAAATTCAAGTGTACCAAACCTTTATGTCCAGCACTGTAGGGTGGCTTTATCCACCTGGCGCGCACTGCATGCAAATCGCTCGATTGCACTCGCCCAGCATTGCCTGGATAACATCGATAAGGATGTGTACGCGCTCGCCGAGAACCTACCGACGAGAGCTACCTTGTCGAGATTTTTTCAACGATGTAGAGCGTGAGTCGAGGCGAAGGTATCAAAATACGAGCCACGAGCCTCCACCACGAAGGGCTTGTTGGAATTGATCGAAGAGCTCGCATTTGATTCTCGTGAGTGCATTGATGCGTCCTTTACGCGCAGCAAGGCGGTGGGGGTTTGCCGACGAAGCCAGGAAATCTTGGACAAAACGAAGCAGTTCTGAACAATCCCTAAGGAAACGCGAAGAATGAGTACTGCGAAATGTGTACAGCGGACACACTGGGCATGGCAGTTGGGTGGGTCACGCAGCTACATTTCTGAGACCTTCCCGATCCGTCCAACTCTCGGTCCGCAACATACAGTACATGTATCTCTCGGATACCCAGCTGAGATTAGTTGGGCACCACTTAAGTCCAGTCGCCACCGCCGCAACCCCTCGTATATACCTACCTACCTTCATTTACGAATTCACACTACCATGGTCAATCTGCTGGCTCTCGCCATTGCCGCCGCCACGGCGGTCGCCCAACATGAAATCGTTAACGGCACAGAAACTCCCATTGGCAAGTACACGTACGTGACTGGTCTTCGCGTGGGTGCGTCTGGCGCGTCCGGGTGTGGCGCGTCGTTGGTGGCTCCTAAGATCTTGGTCACCGCTGCCCACTGCGCCGCGTCGGCATATATCTACGTCGCGTCGATCGGGTCGCACTACCAGAAGGGCACCCAAGACGGCGAGCGCATTAGGATCGTCAAGCGCACGACGCACCCTAAGTACAACAAGACCAACTTTGACTTCGACTTCGCCGTGTACGAATTGGAAACTCCGTCTACGTATCCCCCGGTCAAGATCAACTGGTCCCAAGACGCGACCGTTGCCCCTGGTCAAGTCGCGATGGTGCGTGGGTGGGGCGCCACCTCGGCCGGCGGCAACTCGTCCGCCGTCATGCTCGAGGCCGACGTCGCGATCTGGTCCAATGCCGACTGCCAGAAGGCCCTCACGTCCCGCTACACGATCTTCCCCTCCATGATGTGTGCCGGCGGTGGCTTCAAGGACACCTGCCAAGGGGACTCTGGAGGTCCGTTGGTTGTCAACACGAACGGCGAAGATTACCTCGTTGGCGTCACGAGCTGGGGCATCGGATGCGCTCGCCCCGGCAATCCTGGTGTGTACGCTCGTATTTCGGAAGCCCGCGACTTCATCGAACCTTTCATGACGACACCGCCGCCGACCACCGCCATTGCGACGCCAGCTCCTACCACGACCAAGCCAGCCTGTTAAATAAATATACAGCGTGCATGGTCGAATCAGAGTTGGCGATTCCCGTCTTTGTGTAAGCTAGTTGTATGAAATATTCGAAAACACGTTCCACCGAAACTTGGCCTTCGATTGACGTCGAACGCAGCACTGTAAGGTTGGGGGGCTGCCGAGTTTGATGCACTGCCAAAGTCATGCGAAACCTCAGTCGCGGCGCACGGGAGTCACTCTTCACCCACGTCTTGTCGAACCTCTACAAGACACTGGTCCGGTTCATTCTAGCATGATCTGCCAGAACATGTACTTCGCCAAAATGTTACTGTTCGGTCAGTGACTGCGCCATTGCCATAGTACTCCAGAATATTTGTTTCCACCCGCAATAGGTCGACCCCTCAGAAAAAGCAATTCTACATCACGAAGAGTGTTCTTGGGCAAGATTGAAATCTGTCGAAGCAAAGCCAGCCCTTCGGCAAGCTGAGAGTATACTGCGGCAAACCCATACTAGACTGAGCCAGTATCCGTGCGCAAAGACTTAGCGCTCAACAATCTCGACGTGTTTTGTAGTATGCAAGTGGACCAGGCGACTTTGACGACCTGTATCACTTCACCGAGGTGCTACTGACTGCACAGTTGGTCAATTCTCACTGCAAGGGGGTAGTCGCCAAACTGTGAATGATGGGGGATAACCTGGACAATGAATTGTGCTGCCAAAATGTGAGCGCACTGAACAAAACTTCTCCTTTGAGAAAATACGTATTCAAATTTGATGCCGGGGTATTCAGGACTACATCCTCCGGAGTACTCAGCATGAGCTACAATCCATTTTTCGCCGTGGAGACATTGCCGAACGACCAGCATGTCGTCAACGACGCGCTCCATTTCATCGCCACCACGATAGAGAAATGGGAAACACTATTGGACGTCGGTAAGAAGTGCGCCATGGCACAAATCGCAGTCAACAGGATGAACACAAGATTTGTCCCTGTCACCCGGCGAGTGGGTCGAAATCCAGTCGCCATCGTCGATGCACACCACCGTCGATCCTGTTTGCCCCCCACGATAACGTTGCCGTGGGCGTGTTGAAGAGACTTGGAACTAGATTGGGACAAAACTCACGTCACCAACGGGTCCTGAATGCAATGGACTCCTGACGAGTGTTCGAGACCGAATGCTCGACAACTTGATTCATCGACAACGAAAGATCTTGCAGGGCTTGTGTGATGAGTCGATTTTCACAAGGACTGTCTCGAAGGATGTGGGGTGTTTCGAGTGCGCTTGTGGCCATCGTTGCAGGTACAGGCAAATGGAAACTTTTGTTTCATGCCGGATGGGATTCTACAGCACGCGAAAGCAACCTTTCCCCGTTTTCACAATGTGCTTCCTTCGCTGTGCCATGAAGAGATTCATGTCTCAATCGGACAACGATCTTTGACGTGTGACGAACTGCAAGTAGGTGGGAGCAAGTCATTTATCGGACGACTCGCAGATTTTTGCGCTCTCTCTCAATTGAAGCCATTTTGCTCGACGATTGCCCGGCGACAAGATAGAACTTTGATCCATCCATTCGATCACTTTACGATTCCAATGGACACGGATTCGACCATGTTGAAACGTCGTCGGATTTACGGTGTTTGATTGGACATCTCATGATCTTGAACCGACACGCAAATTTTGGTTCATCTCGCTCGTGCCTGAATGCCTCGTTGGCGCTCATATCTGAATAGGGCGGCTCTCACGATGAGCCTCCAACTGAACTCGGCCACCGCCCTCGGCGAGAATGGCAGGAGGTGCATCTGGCTGGGTTTAATTCCCAACCAGGCATCACCTTCTGTGTGCAGTGCCACGCTCGTCGCCTCCACATGACTGCTTACTCTGGAGGAGTGTGTCCAAAAACTTCCAAGTGGGCTGCTATCGGCGCCAAATGTGGACTGGGTGATGATGAAACGGAGAAAATTTCAGTTATCCGATACGTGGTGCATCCACTCCGACCACCAACTCGAGCTACAGTCATATCTGCTAAGCTGGAGCTACAAACCGCCAGCAGGTACACTCCCGTCATAATCTCTTGGAACGAAACCATGCCTAAAAACACTGTGGATCCTCTGATTCGATGTCGCGTACACGAACAAGAGCCTCGTGGAAACAGTGTGGTGCTATGAACACTGCGACAAATTCTATTTCGACCACCAAGAGTATGGTCATACGCTCAACACTCTCATGCAATGCATTCACGGCAACCAGTGCCACCATGACCATGGAAGCGATGTTATGTTTGGTTCTAACAGCAATAGTCAAATAATCTGGAGGCTGCAACGCCTTACCATAAGTCTACATTCGAATCGACGTAGCTAAGGATTTCATACAATCCGTCATCAAACCTCCAGAACCCACGCCGACTTTTCAACTCGCATACACACCCAACGATACCACCAGCAGTCCTTCAGGTCCATCCAAAACGAATCCAAAACAACCTGTACATATTGTTCGGACTCCTGTCCCAACCAGCTGGACACCTGCACCCTCCAGTCCGGCACCGACTGGCTCGACTGCCTCCACGACGGCCAGACAGGACCGTCGACCACCAGCATCGCAACGCGGTATGCCGTCCCAACGATCTACACAAGACCACATAACACATTACAATGCAGGCTTTGTGCCTGGCGTCACTCAACAGATGTCATATACGGTCACAAGCAAGACGGAGCTCTATTGCTGCGGTGCATTGCTCACACCATACTGCCTTGGCCAAGACGAAGGAGATCCATCGATCTCGCTCTTACAGCTTGTCGGACAATTCCACTTTGTACCTCCAACGCCTAATATGGCCGACAATTTGCGCCAGTCAATCAAAACGCTGCTCAAGCACTACTTCACCCAGCCAACGAAAAACTACCTGATATCCCTGGTCAAATGCACGTTCAAGAAGGACTATTGTTCAAAGAAGTCAACCAACCTGATGTCTCTTGGCACACCTTCGAGGTAGTGATGGCGGCGCCGTTTGGGTGCCCCAGAACCTGGTCTTTGCGGTGCAGTTGTTTGGGGTTGTTGGCCTGTATATCGCGATGGGGTCGACGTTTTGGTGTAGTTGAGACATGCGTTCGATTGTTGGGTCGTTGTGACCTCTTATTGAGCATGACATCTAAAAGCAAGAGACATTTACGGGTGATTTGGTTTATTCTTGAAAAGGATAAATAATTGCGACAATACCGCAATGGCTTGGACATATTGCCTTTAGAGTTGTGCCCTCGTTTGGAAAAACAGGGTTCGTTGCCGACGAATTGTTGAAATGTTATGGTAAATAGCTGCATACGTCACTGTTCCTTCCCTTCAACACGCTTAAAGGGGAGCAATTTTCGAGTACAATTCGCAGCATTCACCGGTATTCTGAAGCCAATGCAACGTGACGTGGTTGAGACTACAGAGGAACGTGATTCTGGTATGTTTTTAGATTTCATGTTCAAGAAAAGGTCACAGGGACGCAATAATCGAACTATACCAAAACGTCGACCCATAGTGAGATACAGGCCGACAACCCCAAGCAACTGCACAGCATCAACCAGGATTAACCAGGCTCTGGAGCATCCAAACGGCGTCGCTACCCTCGAAACGTACCAAGATGCTGCATTGATTAATGCCTGTGAACAAGAGTCACTTTTGAATTCGCATTCAACTCCTCTCGACTCCAATGAAGTTGTTTGTTGCCCTCGTCGCTGCGTCCGCTGCCGCCTCCAAGCAGTCCGTGATCACCCTCTCGGCGGACGAGCGGTCCGTGCTCCGCGCCGAGCTCGCCGCGTGGCGCAAAGAGTTTGAGCCTGCCGCCGCGGCGCAGGGCGTGTTGCCCGAAGCCATCATGAGCATGTCCCCTCAAGACGCCGAAGAGGACGCTCTCCAGCGGTTCTACGACAACAAGCTCGCGATCGAAGAGGCTAGCCGCAACAACCCCGATGCCACGTTTGACGACAAGAACCCGTTCGCACTCATGACGCAAGATGAGTTTAAAAAGTTCGTGGAGGGTGTGTCCCTTCAGGAAAGCCGCAATGCATTCCGCTCGGTCCCCGTGGCCAACTTGAACGTGAGCAACGTCAAGGCGGCGTCGATGGACTGGACTACCGATACGTGCATCGGTCCTGTGCGCGACCAAGGTCGTTGCAGGTCGTGCTGGGCATTTGCGGCCGTGGGTGCCGCCGAGATGGCGCACTGCCTCGTGACGGGAGAAAGCCTCGACCTGTCCGAGCAGCAAGTCACGAGTTGCTCCACCGAGAGTGGCAGCGCGGGCTGCAATGGCGGGTGGACGCACGCTGGCTTGACGTACGCGTCGACTACTGGGCTCTGCTTGGAGAGCGACTACCCATACACGTCGGGCAGCACGAGACAAACCGGCACGTGCGACAGCAACTCGTGCACCAAGAAGAAGCTCCGCATCGGCGCGACGGTCCGCACGTCGAGCGAGGCGGAGCTGGACACGGCGCTCAACACGCAGCCTGTGGCGGTAACAGTTGAAGCGGGCAACATCGTTTGGAAAAATTACCGCAGGGGTGTGATCAGTCAATGCCCTGGGTCGTACTCGGACCACGCCGTCGTCGCCGTGGGCTATGACGAGGAGTCCTACAAGCTCCGCAACTCTTGGGGCGCCAACTGGGGCGATGCTGGCTACATCCGGCTCAAGCGCGGCGTGTACGGCAGAGGCACGTGCAATATCGCCGAAGACATCATATTCCCCAATATCGATGGCGTCACGCCCACCAACTCGCCGTCCACCACGACCAACCCTACCCCGACGCCTCCTCGTCCTGAAGCGTGCGGTGACTGCACTGGATGTTTCTATCCTTCCACGAACGAGTGTTTGTCCGCCGATCACAACAAGGAATACTGCGACAAAAACAGTGGTGCATACGGCATGGTTTGGTGTGTTGACAAGCCAACTCCAACTACCACGCCCTCCCCGGCGACCCCTCGTCCTGAAGTGTGCGGCAACTGCTCTGGGTGTTTCTATCCATCCGCGAACCAGTGTTTGTCGGCCGTTTACAGCAGAGACTACTGCGACAGCAAAAGTGCTAAGTTTGGCATGGTTTGGTGCGGTGACATTTCAACTCTGACCACTACCATGGCTACCGAGCCTCGGCGTTCCACCTAGTCGAGTACCACCAAGTCCATTACAATGGTCCACATCATTGGAACGACGAAAAATGGCCCTGCATTACGATAGCTACACGTCGACAACTCTTACAACTTTGAATTGACATTTTTCGTTAAGGACCATGATATCGACTCTGGACAAGCCCATCATCATTGCAGACCTGATGATCGAAACAAACAAAAATTGTCGAACACTACTCCGGAGGAGACATTTTTTCATACTTCGAAGTATTAACGAGTCGTTTGGGAGTTCACTTATATATTGATGTTTGTGTGTAACAATGTATCCGTACGAAATCTTTTGTGTCTGCGTTTTACACTTGTCCAAAAGGGGTTCTGAAAATTCCATATACACTGACCAATCCATGACGCGATTTTGATCAAACAGTATCCCCCGATGCCATGTTGCATTTTTCGTGTACAGTCATCCCTCGACGGTTGCTCCCGTGGGACTACATAAACTTTAACAGGTTTGTGGAACTACAAAAAACACAAAGCAATACATTTAAAGAGGTAACACACTTTTAGTTCAGCAGGCATGCAATGGAGTGGCCCGAGTCGACACGAAGGGAATCCATAAGATCAAGCAACGTTTTCTTCTGCACGATGCCGGTATGCTTCCAGCAGTTTTAAATTGTTGTTGATGTCACGGAATCCCAGGCAGTAAGTGACCACTTCATGGCGGTCAAAATATCGACGGCATTCAAATTCTTCACTTCACCACGCCCACCAACAGAACAGGACTCCACAACATCAACGATGTGATCTAACTGAATCCTTTTGTAGTGACGCTTGAACGACGCAATGATGCCAGCGTCCATGGGCTGCAGAAAGGCCGTGGTGTTTGGGGGCAGCATAAGAAGACGCACGTTGGTAAGTCTGACCTCCAATGGGTCATGTGACGACGCATTGTCCAGGATCAAAAGAACTTCACACCGTTCAACGAACATCCGTGGAGATAACTCTACTTTGTAGGCAGAACTGGCTCTTTTGTTCTTCTATATAGGCACAGCGTCATAAAATTCGATTTAACATTTGATGTACAGCTTGCGAAATAGATCAGCGGGTCGCCCAGCTTCCAAACCAAATACTTTGACAAACGAGAAAATCTCTACAATCTTGAACCGTCGGATGGCTTCGAGTGACCATATAGGACTCTCCAGAACCAACTCGTGGACGGTCCATTGAGTTGTCTGACGCACGATGTGATGCATGTGCCGACGCTGTTAGTAAAAACCTGTTGGCATGCTTGCCCGTTGGACTTAACGGTGCTTCCATTCCCAATGCTGCCGGTAACTTCACAATCGGTTGCAAAGCGCCTCGGCAATGACCCACCCGCTCCAGCAAGTCATTCACGTGAAAGGCTTCGTCGAAACTGACTTGGCGCACGCCGTCGAAAGTATCTACACCAAGAGCAGACACTTGTACAGTACAGCGCTGTAGCCATAGTGGTTCTGCACCGTCTTATCCACTCACGCGACATGGCAATTGCAACGAGCTGCTTCTTCAGGCCGGACGTCGAGTTTTCGACTTCCCGCTTGCTGGCCACGCGATGTTGCCGCGGTGAAGATCGCGCCGGAGGTCGAGCCCTTCCTTGTTGTGGGGGCTCACGTCGTGCGGCGCGTCGTGGTCCCACAAGACAATCAATATGAGGTTGGGCAATGACGGCTGGAATTTTAGGAAATTTCGACGCTGTGAATGCTTTTGCTTGCAATCACGCGTGACTTCGAGCGATGTATAATAGAGAGATTCTGAAACCATTCCATAGCCGCATCCACAGCGGCGCCCTGACATATGGTGACAAAACCGGAGTCAACTTGTTAAAACTTGTTGTGGACACTGTCAAAATTGATTGTCGATCCGCACAATCGGCGAATTATGCGGAACTATTTCCACATCCACACAATTCAATTGAGGCACGAATGGCGAAGCGCCGGAACTTCACCGAAGAAGAAGACGTAATGCTGCTCCGCCAAGTCTCGGCAGAAGTGCCTTTCCTCGCCAAGC